TAATAGTAAGCGTTTCTTAAGAATCAGCCAGAGACTTTTGATTCATGAGAAAATCCCCAGGTCACCAAAACTAAGACCATCTTAGCCAGAGAAGATGGAAGGCTGGAAGAGAGAAAAGCAGACAAGCTATTTGGGAATTGAAAGAGAAATTCAGAGGAAGAGCACAGGATGAAGACACTGCATGTCACCCTTGACTCTTATGACCTATTTTGTCATTGTTCCCTTCATTGTTTGCTGATCTTATTAGTTTTACTCCATAATTTAATGCTTTAGAGAAGATCAAACACATTCCCCTGTGCTAAGGTGCACAAGGAAAGGTGACTTTCTCTAGGTCAGAATGGTAGGTGGGAGCTGCTCTAGTCCCCCTGGGAACCTGGAATTGTTGACTAGAGGAAGTACAGGGTGCAGGCACAGGAAAAGATACAGGTTTGAGGAAACACTCAGACTACCCCTCCATGACTTAGAGATGTTCTTTCTTAAAAACTATGTGTGTGTCTTAGTGAGGGCATAAATTTGTACAGATGGATGTTCATTTAGTGGATTCCTAAAAGATTTGCTCCTTGTGGCTTCCTTCCATTATCTTCTGAAAGGGATGAAACTTTTTTCCTCCTCACCCCATCCCAATTCACATACACTCAAAACCTGGCAAATGATTTAATAGATCACAAGTTAATAACTCACACCTGGCACCTCTCCTGCATATTTATTTCTTTGAAACTACAACTTTAAACCCTGACCCTACCATTGTTTCTAAATAAACAGGGGTTACCCAATTGCATTTAAGAAGTTGAAAACTAACTCATCTTTTGGATGATGAGTGTCCAAAGCCATTTTCTTCACTTACAGTGTGCACTGGTATTATCTGGAAACCCCAATCATCCGTATTTTAAAATTTCCCTAGGTAAAGTACAGCCCAGTTTGAGATCGCCTAAGCAATATCATAGTTCTGCCTTCCCCTTCTCCTTCCTCCTAAGTACCTCCTCTGGCTGAGAAGCTGGCAAGACAAGCCTGGGAAATGAGAATGTGGCACATCTTGTGTTTGTATATTTTTTCCTCAAGCACAAACCTGGTTTAACCATAAACCCTGGACAAAGAATAATAGACCCCAAGTTGTGACTAACACCTGTGGATAAACTGTGAACTTTGCCTCTGCTCCCCTCCAACATGGACAAAGGTCCTTCATGAGCAGGTTGGAGAAATGCCCACTGACTCTCTCACAATACCATTCATCTCTTGTGATCAGAAACTTCAGGTGAGTCACCTGATATTAAGTAAATTGGGATTAATATCACAAGTATGCCTGTTGATAACTCCACCTCTGATCTGTGTGTGCACCCTGTTTCCACAGGTATTTTTCCAGTTAACCTTTAAAGAACTTACTTCTTTGAAAATCACTGAGCAATAGATTTAAAGTTCCTAGATATGACAACAAATTCAACAAATTGTTTAATTGGAAGGCTTAAAGCTGGGTTGAGAAAACAGTTAATTACATTTAATGGCTTCTTTATGAAATGTGCTTTTTTTCAAGGATGGTTGGCACAGTTTGGTGAATGGTTAATGTCTATCTTCTAGAATGTTCAGATCAGCCACTTCTTGGCTGAAAAACGCATCTGCATTTGGATACAAGATACTTTGAAAAAAGTGTCTTGGTAATAAAATTGCTTCAATAAAATGTTTCTTCTTAACACTACAGCCCAGTGTGTCCAATTTTAAAGAAGGTATCCCTCAGACTCAAATTTATGATAAGTAATTTTAATCATTAATAATTTTTCAAGTGCCTCCCTGCTATGCCTAAATTCAATGAATAAATAAAAAAAGATGATTTCTACCCAGCTAGAAAGCAGAAGAATATTGAACCCAACATTACGGCAATGTTCTCACTTTTCCTAAGTAATCTATGATATCATTGCTTGAAGCAAGAAGTCTCATCATGTCTCAGAAAAGCAGAATTCTATGGTACTCAGTTTCATGACAAAACTTGGTTTTGAAAGAATGGCCTGGATAATTACCTGGAAAATAGCAGGAAAACATCTTTAAAACACATACAAATCAAGTAACTAAAATCCTGAAATGTTTTTTGCTTTTTGTTTGTTTTTTGTGGTGCTGGGGATTGAACCCAGGGCCTTGTGCATGCCAGGCAGGCATTCTTCCAACTGAGCTATATCCCTAGCCCATGAAATGTTTTTTTTATGAAACATAAATGATACCTGAAGCTCATTTTATATATTTTGATTTAAAAATGTGGTTTTAATGAGAGACACATCTTCTTTATATCTCAATGAGAACATATTTTTTTGTCTACAGAAAGAAGGGAGATTTCCAGAAATAACATGACCACTAGCCAGTTACATGAAATATCATAATTTGTGAAGTATGCATGTTCACATTCTCACTTAATCATTAAATTATCTTCAGTCCAATCTTGAGGAAATTGAGGCTTGAAGAGTCCAAGTAGCTTGAAGAGTCCAAGTAGCATTAGGAAATGACAGAGCTAGAACTTCAAAACCAACCTGTCAGTCACAAAGTCCACCTCCACCAACATCCTCTTCCCAACATCAGCAAAGGCCTCCATGTAATGGACACTTACTGTATCAGAGACATCTTCCCTGCCATATTCCATTTAACATGATAGACACACAACGAGAAAAGCATTAGCATCTGAGTCCTAGTGAAAATCTCTTCCTCAGACTCACACAGCAAGTGTCGGAAGTAAGCTTTAAACCTAGGAACTGAAGCTCCTGTTCTTTTCACTGACTCTGTGCCCTTCATCTGCAGCGGAGAACTTCTCTCCACCTAACGATGAACTTCACACAATAAAGCCCACTCAACAGTGACGTGCAGCCCTGTAGCTGACGCAAAAGGCCAACCATTCCATCATCGTATATGTGACACAGGCTTCTCTGTCTAGCCTAAGGGTTCAAGGACACAGGAACATTATAATTAGAAGCTGTGGGTGAATGTGTCATTTTAACACTTTGATATCTTACTTTCCCCATGAGCCTATGATCTACTTGACCCACAAAGAAAACCTTAGGAAGCTTTATATCCAAGCCCAGTATTCTAATAGATGGAGTCCACCAAGGGCCAAGGACAGGATTCAGATGAAAAAGGCAATGTTTCTCCTCTGCATAGCAATAATCAATTCAAAAATGTCTACGAAAAAATTCCCATTCAACTCAAAATAATGGGGGAAAGTTATAAAATAAACTTTACCAGAAATGTGTGACTTACATTAAGAAAGAGATAAAAATTCTGTTGAAGAATATGTAAGTGCCTGGATGGAAAAAAAAACTGAATATTTAAAAATACTCATTCTTCACAATGTAATAGATAAATTCAGTGATTTTCTAATGCTATTTCAATCAAACAACAAAATTTTTTATTAAAACCTGACAAGATAGTCCTAAAATTCGTATGGAAGAAATAAAATGTTTAAAGATCAGAGATGAGGTAACATTTGCCCAACTAGTTATCAGAATATACTATAGAAAAAGCTGAAATAAACACAAATGTTGTTTTGGTTCAGGAATAGAGAATATATCAGTAAAAAAGAATTTTAAAACACACTGATAAACCAGGTGTGATGGTGCATGCCTGTAATTCCAGTGGCTTGGATGACTGAGGTATGAAGATTGCAAGTTCAAGGCCAGCCTCAGAAGTTTAGCTCAGTGAGACCCTGTCTCAAAATAAAAAATAAAAAAGGGTTTGGAATATATCTTAGTGGTAAATTGCCCCTGAGTTCAATCCTCAGTACCAAATCAAAACAAAACAAAACAAAAAACACACAGATATGTATCAACTTATCACATAGTAAAAATTAATGTTTCATTCAATGGGTAAAGGAAAATTATTCAATAAATTATATTGCAGGAATTAGAAATTTGGGGAGATAATTAAATATTTTCTTCACAAGCTGCTCAGATTATTAAAGAGTTGAAGGCTTAAACAATCACAAGTATCAGAACAAAATATAGGAAAAGTGTTATTGTGGGAAGGGGAGGCCTTCTTATGATTTTCTGGAAAATAAAGCTCTAATGTAAATGATTAATAAATGTTTATATTAAATAAATTTATATTTAATTCAATTTAAATTAAATTAAAAGCATTTCTAGGATAAAAAAACAAAAATGTATAAGATGACAAAATATTTGTAATATATGACACCAAGTTTCAATACCTAGAACACTGTAAAAAGATCTGAAAGTCAATTTTTTTTAAAAAAGGAAAATGCAACAATTATGAGTTTCCATTTCAAAAAATATATATCATATGAAAATATGCTCAGCTTCACTCATAATCCCTCCTATTACTAAAAAGGTAAATTTAAATCACAATGAAATACCATCTTTTACTTATTTCCTTGACTAATTCAGGCTGGTTATATCTAACAATTGGAAATTTTAAAGTGATCTCATGCACTGTTAGTAAGGATATAATCTTTTTGAAGAAAAGTTTTATAATATCCATTTACACTAAAAAATGGCATAGCCTTTTAAGGATGTTCAATGTTATTTTACTATTAATGGATCTAAATCTAAAATAATCTAAATGCCTATTAGTGAGGCTATGATTACACAAATAATGATGTGGTCAGACAATAGAATCCTGCTACTCTGAGACAGATTTTTATGTACTGATAGGAAGTATGAAGTAAAGGAGAATATGGTGTACAACCCTACAAGTAATATATGATTATCAGTGTGTGTATAAGATAAATGCATAAAACTATAGAAGATTATGTAACATAAAAAAACAGACACCTATATATTCCTAAATGCACATGCATTTACCAATGCATTACTAATTTGGGAATGGTGGATGGTAGATATTGCTTCAGAACAGGGGGAAAGGGAGCTGGTGGTGGAAGGGTCTGAATGGTACCAAACCACAGGCATAGGACTCACCCACACTCACATGCTCATTGGCTCTTGTCCTTGAGTCTATCCATTGGAATAGAATGTCTTCATTCTCTGGACCTCAGTTCATAAAATGACTTTTTTAAAGCCCTTATAGCCTCCACAAGTTTCATGATAATTTTATTCTATAATTCAATTAGAATTCTTTGTCAGGCAACATATACTTGCAAGAAGGTGTTCTGCGAAATCAATAATAGAGTCAGTTATTACATGGCAATTTCAATTGGAGCAGACCCTCATGTAGGGAAAGGGATATTAAAGGGCAATCATGTAGAACAAATAAGGTTTGGTCACAGATTAACTTTTCTCATGGATTCTGCTTTCAATATAGATGTAATTATATTTATTTTAGACCCTTAATTGTTACTTACCTTGCATGTCTTGACTTCGTGTTTGCTTGTACAGTTTTAGTAATGGCAATGTAATGTACGATTAGTTCATTCATGGGAACTCTTCCCTCTCTCTGCTCATTCTTTTGTAATCACAATACAACTACATTATGCATGTGTAAACCATGAAATAAGAAGGCAGGACCTTTTCTACTACTCAGAATAGATTAACTTCTGTCTTCCCATCAAATGGGGAATCAAACAAAAATTATCACCCACTGTTTTGGCTATGGGGGGTGCATTGGTTACTTAGTTGCTCCTTCCCCATGATCCTTCTCCTTTCAAACTTTCCTCCAAGTAAAAATGCTTATTTCAGATGTTTCCTCCTCAGCTGCCACAGATCATCTTTGGAAGACAGTGGAGGGATGTACAGGGTGTTCCAGAGTATGACTAACACAGAGAGCAGCACGTCAGTGTAAATAATGCACATACAGGACATTATGAAAAAGAATCTACAGGGAGATTTGTTACCATCTCTTCATTCTATTTATTAAAATAAGTTTAGCTTTTCCCTTCCTCTTCCTTCTTTCATATTTTCCCTTCCTTCTTCTAACCCCTATATCCTTGAGGCAAGAGCAGTGAAAAAGAGAACACAAAGTTTGGGTTTGATCTTGGCTCTACAACTTATCCTACCTGTGAATGTGAAACATGGCACACAGCCCATCTGTCTGAACCTTAGGCTCCTTATCAATCATCTTGGCATTCTATCCCAAGATGCACCTCCACAGGGTTTCTATCAGTTTCCTTGTCCTCCTTTCTAGAGCTTTTGCCTTGTAAAATTTTACCTCCAATTGTGAAACAGAAATTTGGGCCATAAAAGAATTTCAAACATCAGCAAAAATACAGGTTCAGTGCCCTAGTTAAGTTCTAGGTATGCACAAACAGATATCAAATTTACAAGCTAAAAATTCTTAGGCAATAAAAAAATGAATGCTTGCACTATACAAAAAGATAATGACTGAGTGTTGATGGTTATGCAGCAATCCAACTACATTTGTAAGACCTGAGGATGAAGGTAGAGAAATGAGGACTTCTGGTATTGAGCAATATGAAATAGAACATTGAATCCTATCTCTTCCAAAGATCAAAAACAAATCTCTGAAGATGATAATAATAAAATAAATGATCTGAGCACTGGCAATAGGAGGTGGTTTTGGGAGGCCAAGTCAAAAACTGAAGACCAAGCTATAACAAGAGTAAGTTTTATGGAAAGTTTTTGCCTCTTTTATTTCCTGGCTTTGAATGAAGGGTGTTCCCACTGTGGGACCATGCAAGGGCACAAGCAGCAGAAACTCAGAGAGAAATATCCTTCAGCCAGAGAACCAGGAAAAGGGGCACAGAAAGCAAGAGAGAATAAGGTCAATCCCTGTTTGCTTGCTTGTTTGTTTTTTCAATAAAAGCTTACTGTGGAAAATATCTGTATTTACAGAAAAGCTGCAAAGATAGGATGGAAATTCTAATGTTCCTCACACCCACTGTTAACATTACCACGTCCATTTGAGAAAACAAGAAACTGGCATTTTTACATTGTTATTAACTAAACTCCAGGCTTTATTTGGATTCACTGGTTTTTCCACTGAAGTCCTTTCTCTGTTCTAGGATCCAGTCCAGGATAACACACTGCAAGTTGTCATCATGCCTCCTTAAACTTCTCTGGTCTATGACCCTTCCTCAGTCTTCCCTTGTTTTCAATGGCTTTGAGAGTTTTGAGGAGTGCTAGATTAATATTTTAAAAAATATCCCTCATATTGGGGTTGCCTGATGTTTCCTCATGCTTCTACTGGACTTATGGATTTTAAGGAAGAATATTAAAGAGGCAAAGAGTCCTTTTCATAATACCATGTAAGAGGAACACACTATCAACATAACTTATCACTAGTGATCCTAACTTTCATCACCTGGCTAAAATAGTGTTCACTGGGCTGAAAGAAAATCACTAAGTCTAATACATATCAAGCTGAGTGGGAGAAGAATCTACATAAATTATTTGGAATTCTTCGGGGAGAAAGATTCATCTCTCATACCCATTTATGTATTCATACTTTGAGAATGGCCTCAGTTCTGGGCTATATTAGCTTCTGATGAGAGAGAGAGAGAGAGAGAGAGAGAGAGAGAGAGAGAGAGAGAAACTTTTTCCCAAAGAGAAAACTTATCTTTCTTGTTAAAGGAAGTGGGAAAAGAAGACTCTATAATCTGAAGTGAAAGAGGAATCCTCTCTTTCCCTTCACTGCTTTGCCTGATTGCATAAAACTATTCAGCAGCATCTTAAAAGCGTCTAAAACTTTTAAAGAAACACCAAATTTGTGTCTAGAGGATTAGATAAAAGGGATCCTGGGTGCCACAGGGAGTGGGGGAAACAATGGAGAGTGAAGTAATGAAAGAGATTTCTTAACTCTGTGAGTGAAGTGACATCAGTCCCAGACTCCTCTGAGCTGCTCCTGTGGAGACAGACTCACAGCAGGAGAGCAAAGGCATTGAGAACTAAGCTGATATTGGAACCCTGCCCACAGAAGGGCAGAACCTGCAGTCTGAATATGTCCAAGACCACTGCCTGTGAAAGTAAAAGAGAGGGTGTTTTCTAAAAGATTTTAACAGGATCCAGCTAATCATCTGATTCAAAATGTCCGGGAAAAAAATCTAAGATCACTCAACATACAAAAACAAGACCAAACCAAAAGAAAAAAGAAAGAAAGAAAGAAAAAAAAAGCCAGCACACATGACAAATTCTAAAGTGGAAAAAAACAATAGATGTCAACCTGAAATAACTGATGCACTAAAATTCTTAGAAAGACCTTTAAACAATTATTATAATGATGCTCAATGGATAAAAATAGACATTATGAAAATAAATGGAAAGATCAATGTCATTAGAAAGGAAACAGGAACTATTGAAACTGATTCTTTTAGAACTGAAAAATATTATCTGAAATTAAAAATTCATTCAATGGTCTCAAGGAGGATAGAAATGTGTTGATGAACTTGAAAACAGATCAAAGTATTTATTCAACCTCTACAATGAAGAGAATGAAAATTGGGGGAAAAAATCAATCTCAGGGATGTATGGGGCAAAATTTAACAGATCTAGCCTTCTAGTATTGAAGTTCTAAAAAAAAGGAGGAGAAAAATGTTAGTACAGAAAGAAAAATTTGAAGAAATATTGCAGAAAACACAAATTTGATAAAAGACATATATTTACATCCACAAGAACAGGAAGAAACCCCCTGAAAAGTATAAATTCAAAGAAAACCCAACCCACTTACAATATAATCAAACTACTAAAAACAAAAGATGAAGAAAAACAGCCAGAAAAAATGACTCATCAGAAAGAAGGGAACAAGAATCTGAAGGATTGCTGATTTCTTACCAGAAATCCAGGTTCTCAGAAGACAGTGGGATTATACCCATGAAGAACAACCCAAAATTCTATATCCAGTAAAAATATCCATCAATAGTGATGGCAAAAGGAATAAAAAAACCTCAGATGAAGGAAAACTAGCAGAATTCATTGCTACAAGGCCTTCTCTAAAATAAATACTAACTGGAATTCTTCAAACTGAAATGTTGTCATGAGGAAACCTTAAATTTCAGGAAAAAAGAAAGAGCGCAGAAATCATAAATATTCCAACAATCATAATAAACTATCTGTTGAGTTTTTACAAATATACATAATTATCA